GAAAAACTCAAGCTTCAAATGGTAAAAATAGAAGTATTTGGTGAGCAAACGTTTGAAGGCGGCAAGAAGCATCAAAAGAAGAAAGAATAGCTGGTCTATAATGCTCTGTAGTCTATGGTCTATAATACTCTATAGTCACTGTACAAAAAAAGGTTGATGTTCAACCATTTTAGGAGGTAGTATATGATCAAGAATCAATGATAATGAAGGAAGAAGTTCAAGTTGTACTGACAATATTGGGGAAAAGACTACCTCCATTGGTGTAGAAGACTACCACCATGGGCAGCCAGGGCTTGGTCCTGCTGGGGAAACTAAAGCATCCTGCAGACCCTTCTAACTGTCTCACCAAGGAATGGGGAAGCTAGGGTGCCTATCCACCAACTACATCTCTCACTGGACAAGAGTTTCCCCCCTGAGTATAATCCTAGTACTTCCAGAGTCCAAAATAAAATGCTATGGTCCCAGAGGATTTCATCAGCAGAGAAAGGACACGAGTGAGAAACCATTAGTATGAGGGGCTGCAAGTGAACCTAAGATGGCTATAGTCACATGGGGTAGAACAAGAGGGTCTGCTATAGCTTCTTACTGCCTCAGGAAAAAGTCTCCACTCCCTAGCCTACCCTCCCATCTCAGAATGCCAGATGAAATACAGGGCACACAATAAAATTTGAATTTGACATAATGAATAAGATTTTAGGATAAGTATGTCCCAAAGAATGCACTGGACATACTTATTGTCATAAGGTCATAGGTCCTCCTTAACCTGGTCTCAGGAGAAAGATAAGACTTTCTACTTCCAGAAAGAGTGACGGTCTTGAGAACCCAGAGGGGCCGTTCTACTCCGTCCTATAGGGCCGCCAGGGGGTGGACTGGACTCAATGGCAGGCACTGCATTTAAGCTGGCCTCATTCCATTTTGTTTCTTTTAAAAAATAGGCTTATTGGCATACACTTCACTCACACAATTTAACCATTCAATTACATTGAGGAGATTTGAGCAGTCATCACCACAGTACATTTGAGAACATTTTCTTCTCATATTCATCCTTGTTAGCGCTCCACTTTCCCCTATCCATCCCTGTCATACCTGTAGGCAATTAACAATCCAGTTACTTGTCTCTATAGATCTACCTTCCCTGGATTTCATATACAGGAAATCATACAAAACACAAACAGCAAGAAAATATTAAAAACTGAACTAACTTGAGAATTGGGTCAAAAGGAAAATCAAATGTTAAGGTATTCGATTTTAACCTAATTACATCTGCCATAATCAAATTTACAAGGCCCTCTGATAGCAAGGCTATTCACATCCCTCAACTATGGTCAGAGGGAATTCGGTGGAAGCGTAATCTATCTGGGGACCCTGCAAATGTATTTTGGGATTCCAAGGTCATCCATAGCCTTCTGAAAACAGGGGGTTCACAATTTAAGCTCTGATACTGTTCCTTCCTTGAGATTTGGATGGTATTATATACAATCCTTGGATCACGGAGGTTGGTGTGCCTCTTCCCTGTGGACTGAGTTGATACCTCAATTAAAAGAATGCTTATTTTTAAGATAAGTCTTTAAAACTCCAAATGCTATTTTTTTCGAATACCCAGGCACCATCTCGTTTCTTAACCACACTGTGCTATAGCACCCGTATATTCAGTGATCTCTTCATGAGTCAGCTTCGAGCAGGGCCATGTGATAAGAGGTAACTGTTCTTAGATTGGGGCTAGAATTGTGAACCCAAATCCATTCATATATATGAATATCTATATATATGGTTCACTTTAGAGACATCCTTATCATATCATTATCATTTTATGATAGGGAACATTATAAGTTATCCCCTTGGGGCAGAAGGTAATTCTACAGATAGTCTCATTCATTTAATTTACCCAATGGTATAAAATTTTAAAGGCTATTGAGAAAAAAAGAAAATTACACAATTATAGGACAGCTTCAGACCACAAAACATGAATCATTCCATTTTCTAATGCTCTGATTCTCAAACTCTTTTCTTCATCAAGAAAAGTGTCTTCATTAAACCTGGTAGCAGCCTTCCAAGCCCTTCCCCCAAGAGGGTGCTCACGATTGTCCCCTGATGGGAGTAACTACCTTACTTCTACCTGTCTCCAGTCTACCTACTCTCTCTAGGCCTGGCATCCTCTCTCCCTTCTAGGAGCTTGGGCTGCCAGCACAAGTCATCCAATGACCTCTTACCATTCCTATCATCTGTCGGAATGCCTAGGCTAGCACAATGATGGCATGTAATTACTTAATGTAGATGAGCCCAGCCCCAACAGCCACTGTAAGCTCTGTGAGGGTTGGACGGAGTCCCTCTCATCCCCACTGCTTCTGCAGTGTCCACCAGATGCTGGGTGATGTCAGCATTCACTGAACAGCTGTAGGGAAAATGAATGAATGAATGCTACATTCCATGAGAGCTGGACCAGGCCAAGAATAACATAGAAAGCAGCCAAAGCCCTCACTGACACGAGGAAGGGTGGTTAGTTTCTCAACTATAATAGCATGGTCCTCCAGCTCCCATAAGCTGGCCAATTAGTCCTTTCTATTAATTCTAGATTTGTCATACAACACACACACATGCGTGTGCATGCATACACACACACCCCTGCACATACATGCATGTCCCACACATGATTCCCACTAGGCCTTTGGGGCCTGGCTTATGTATCCTAATTTATAATAACGCCTTCCAAACGACTATTCCATTTTTTAAAATTCTCTCCCCACCCCACCTCCACCACCTTTTTTTTTTTGCATTAGATGCTCTGATGTGTATATATAATCATCATATAACACTTTAAATTGGCAAAGAGTTTAACATTTTTATGTGTATTTTATTTTTAGCTGCTGTTGAGTAGACGCATAACAACATTCACAAATTTAACGGTTTCTCCACGTACAATTCAGTGCCATTGCTGATCCTTCCAGTTTTGGATCCTTCTCACCCTCCTTGTCCGAGCTGTTCGTTCTCCACTCATCGAAAGCCACCACTAAAGCACCTCTCTTTTCAATTGGTGTCATCAATTTGATCATATACAGATCACTCTTAAAAGCACACAGTGCTCAAGCAAACATTCTTTACTAGGTAAGCTAAAACAAATGCTTAACTAAAGAAGATGTCAGGGGATACTTTTGGCTTCAGGCATCACGGCTACCTCGGGCCAATAGTTTTGGGGAATATATCCATGGCTCCCTGGTAGCATAGTGGTTATGTGTTGGGCTGGATCCGCAAGGTCAGCAGTTGGAAAACCCCAGCCTCTCCAACACATTATTAGACCAATTAACTGGAATGCCCTATGGAAGCATGACCCTAGACTTCCAAACCACCTTTAAATGGGTTCTTTTACCTGAATACCACAATATCCATGTAAGGTTTCTAAAGTGGGTATCTCTTCTTTTGACAAATGGAAGAAATTGGTTAAATGGTTATCCGGGCAGTTACTACTAAATGGAATCGGGTAGTAGGGATCCTCTAACTCATCATTTATAAATAAGGCCAAAATATGTCTTCGATTTGTAATGTAAAACAGGGCGTTTATTTTCAAATCAAAAGCACATTTGGTTCATTTCCTCAGCCACACAGCAGCCCTGGGTCCACCCTTCCCCACTCAGTGTGTTCCACGCTGTGTGGAGGGGACAGCCCACGTGGCCCCTGGAATCATACAAATAATTAGTCTGGACTCCCTCCCCAGGAGTCTACCTTTCTTCATTTAAGAGTTACACACAAGTCGAAAAGTTAGAGGTGTGTTCAATAAACCCAGGAGGAAGAAGTGCTAATGAGGTTCCAAGCAGCAGCTTAAAAGCAGTCATAAAAACGAAACTTAGGGACCTTTTAGGGAAGGGTTTCCAAGATTGCAACTCTACAAGAGTAGAAGGCTCCGTCTTTCTCCTGAGGAGCAGCTGGTGGCGCCAAACTGCTGACTTTGTGGACCAAGGCCCAACACGGAACCACCACACCACGAGGGCTCTTAAAAGTCCCCAAGTGAGATTTAACCAATTAAGGGAGGGCGGTGAGGGTGGGATCCACAGTACACTCCCACCTTACTTTAAAAAAAAAGTGTGGGTGCGTGCGGGTGTGGTAGAGGCCAGGAGTATAAACTAGTAGGGAGGAGGATCTGACGGATAAAGGTAACAGCTACCAAACAATTGCCACCACCTGGAACCCTGCAGACCAGAGCGAGGGCTAGAGCGGCGGTTCTCAACCAGTGGGTCGCGACCTCCTTTCACAGGAGTGGTCCGATTCTTAACAGTAGCAAAATGACAGTGATGAAGTAGCAACGAAACTAATTTGATGGCTTGGGGGGGAGGGGGGGGTCACCACCACCTGAGGAACTGTATGAAAGGGTGGCGGCCTGAGGAAGGTTGAGAACCGCTGGGCTAGAGCAAGGGGCTACCTGTAGCCGAGCAGCGCTCGCGAGCGAGCGGCAAGGGAGCTGCCCACCTCCCGGCACGCACCACTGAGCTGCACAAAAGTCTGGCCACAGACAGATCCGAGCCGCCCAAGTCCCAACGCCTGCGCCTTCAGCCCCCAAATCCCCTGGAGTCTGACACAGGCTCCCCAGCAAGGTGAGGAACGGTGGCCGAGAAGCCTCCTCCCCCACGTGGAGACGTCAAGCGAGAAAATGCACGGGGTCGGGGTGGGGGGCGCAGCCCCACGGCACGACACAGCCACCCCGGAGGATCGGCGCGTCCCCGAGCATCCGTCCCCAGCCTGCGGCCCGGCCCCGCCCCCCGAGCGGGTCGCGCGTTCCGCCACCAGCAAAACAACCCGGCGCACCGCCCCTGCGCGGGCGCCTTCAGGGTCCCCGCGGCGTCGCGCGCCCTCCTCGTCCCCAAACGACGGCGCGAGAGAGCCGCCGGCCGCTGGCGGCACAAGTCCGGCTCCAGGCCCGCCCGGCGCCCCGCACCGAACAGAATGCGTGCCAGGAGGGTGACAGGCACGCGGGGACCGCGAGGGAGGCAGCAGGCAGCGGCCGAACTCACCGGGATGTGCACGCGCAGCGACCGCCTCTTGGAGCTGGAGTTCTTCTTGCCGCCGCTCCCGCCGGGGCTGGCACCGTCCTTCTTCTTCTTGGTATCCATGACCGCGCTTCCCATCACTTGACCCCCAAGGGAATTCCGGGTGACGAGCTCCCGGAACGGTCTTCGCCCCGTGCGGCCGCGGGGCCGGACCCCTCCCCGTCTGAAGACACCTTGCAGGGACTTCCGCGGCGAGCGACGGGGAGCGCGCGCCCGGGAGGGCGGTCGAGCGAGCGAGCGAGCGCGGAGCCCGAGCGTCCTCTCCTGCGTCCGACGGGCTCGGCCGACCCCGAAGCAAAGTCCAAGGCTGTCCTGCGAGGCGCCGACGCCTCAGACCCGGCACGGGCTTCCCTGCGGGCCCCAAAGTTTCCTCGCCTTCGCCAAGCGCAGCCACATTTCTGTCACGCTCTCGGCCCCTCCCACGCGCTCCCACAGGTAACCTGGAAGACAGGTGCAATGGAAGAAAAACAATTTGGGAAAACAGCCCCGCCCGGGCCGGGCCTGGAGTGGAAAATCCGGCGAGAAGAGGGAGGTTGGCGTATAAATACCCTCCCGGGCCGCAGCCCGCGCCAGCCCCGGCCCGACGGGCCCGGCCCTCCTGCGCAGGGGCGGGGAGGGAAGAGGCGG